ATGACCTCTTGGACAACCATATTGCTTGATGGAAAAAGAGTTTGCTGTCTGAGTTGGATGCTGGTGCCTAACAGGCTGTTCTCAGTGACCAGTTGGAAAAAAAACTAATTATACATTACAGGAGACACGGTCCTCTCTTCCTGCACCACCTAACTTCCCACACTTTCAGGACACAAATGACTAAGACTGGAACCAAACAAACTAATAAAACTTTTTCTGAGCAAGTAGCTTTTGTCAGTTGGAAGATCTGCTCAGAAATAAGTCTCAATTATAATAATAGGGCTTACTTCCTATATAAAACTGTAGCCTCAAGTGCACAAGAAGGAAAAGTTATTTTATTGCAAAACATGGTTTCTGAACAACCACATCCATATGGCTATGCACAGAGTAGACACATGATAAAAATTCTGTGCTTTGGTAGATACTGTACATTGGATTTGCATTGTACATAGATCTGGCAACACAGTGTGATTCAGCAGGAGTTAAGAAACAATGTAAAATGCAGTGCTATAACAGCCAAAATCCTATTGCTTAATGTAGTAAACTTCACTAGAATGAATGTGAATTTGGTTAGTCAATTCCTCTATAAGTTCCATTTATTCAAATAGGCTACTCTAACAGTCACCTCCTTTAGTATAGAAAGTCACTGTTAGAGCAGAGTTTAGTATACTGTAAGAAGTCACAGTTAATGGAACTTACGGAGGAGTTGACTCACCAAATCCCCACTGATTCAACTCTGGCATGATTTACTATGCTAAGCAACAGGATTTTGGCCATTATGCCCCTAATTTATCTTCCCGAGAATCAAATTGTTTCTTGTTAAGCCAAGCTTCTAGTCCTCATTATTGTTCAGTCATCTGAAAGGATGCAGAAAGGCCAAGTTTACTGATATTGGAGACGCTGGATTAATAATACTGTACTGAGGGGCGAAGGAGTGAAGTACCACTCAGAGCTATATAGCTTGTTGCCTTTCTACATCATGGTTAAAACCAGAATAAATTGCATGCAGCAGTAGTGATAAGAAACAAAACCTGCTTTTGGAAATGGGGAAAACAAGAATCAATCTGCACAATTTTTCAAATCCCAGAAGGTATAGAGATCACAGAATTCAACTCTTTCTTAATGCAGAATTTGAGCTGCCTTGCTATAAGATGTGCACGTATGTGAGTGTGTTTATTTGTTTGTTTAATGGAATATCCAAGGCCTGGGCAGCAGTAGAGGAAACAGATACACTAGAACAAAACAGTAATAGTGAGCAAAGGGGAATGGCTAGACTGACCCCCCGCCCTCTCTCTCTCTCTCTCTCTCTCTCTCTCTCTCTCTCTCTCACTCACTCACACACACACACACACACACAGAGAGAGAGAGAGAGAGAGAGAGAGAGAGAGAGAGAGAGAGATTCCAAATTCACAATCACAATCCTTGCTCAGGCACTGAGGCTGCTGGAAGACAACCACATAAGGAACAGTGACACAAGACCCCAGCCAACAAGCCAGGAGAGTCATCAGCCACACACACTGGTCTGCCAGCTTTATCAACACAGACCAAAGCAGAACAGTGAGTAGACGTACAACTGGGCAGAACGGCCCTTCCCCCCAGCCCTCTTCATAAAAGCTTCTGAAAAATCAGAACTGACAACTCGGAAGCTGAACTCAACCTAGTGAACAACGAGGAGAGAAAGCTCAGCTGGGAACACAAGGAAGGGAGAATTAGTTGGCTCCAGAGGGGGAAAAGGGGAGGGGGAATATGAGACACCCCCTCCCATATATGGCCTTAATACTGCATTAAGATACTGCATAAGTAGAGAAGGGATACAAGCTGGGTAAGAAGGACAGCAGTAGAAGGCCATGTCATACCCTTGGGGAAGCATCGCATGTTCCATATGAGTGATGTATGGCAAAGTAAGGAGGGGGAACAGTCAGCCTAATTGCACCAAAGAGTCAGACATTCAAGTGTCCAAAGTCCAATTTATACCTGCCCTCTCTCTTAGCAATATACCTTTCTCATTCCAACTTACAGGGACTAAGGTTTGTTCTTCTCACACATAGACATCCAAATACAAAGCAGAGGAGTTCCCCAAAATACAACTGGGAAATAATTAGTAATTTCAGCATCTTTTGCAAGCCACCATTAGCATTGAAACTGCAATAAAAGGGTACGTATGTAAGCCATCTAAATAAATTAATAATAAATAACAGGATTATTGTGGTTCAGAGACTAAGCCTGCCACTAGCGAGCCTACAGGGCAGACAACTGCTGTCTCTCACCACAGTTCATTTCCCAGTTACCTCTTGCCATGGTTTTAGATACAAGCATTTAAAACAAACTCAGATTAGGGCATGGCAGTTCTTAGCCTTTCCTCTGTTCCCAGTGCACAGAATAGGTGACCCTCCAGATACTGCTAGACTACAGTTGCCATCATTTTCACCATTAGCGAAGGATGATGAGACTTTCAGTCCAGTAATATCTGGAGGGTCACAAGTTCCCCACACTAACTGATCCTTGTAGCCCAGGGACCCTCCCGAACCAAGTTCCTGCCTAACACAGAACAGTTCATCATACCACTCCCTCCTGCACGCCTCTTAATCAAGGTAGACAGAACCCGAAACTATTTTGGCGCCCAAAACAACCAATGCTACAAATGCTTCTCTCTAATGGCATAAATTAAGTTAACAATAACTAAACAATGAACAAACTGGCATTTAGAATCAGCTGCCTTCCTCGGCCTCATGATTGTTCCTGCCTCCCATACACCGGGTCCCTATCTGGCTACAGGGTTGTAAGGAATACTATCACGATCAGGCCTGCAGCTCTGACTCTAGGAAAATGCGGTCTTCTTGAAGGTGGCAGTAGCATAACACTGAAGCAATTGTGCGACTTTGAAATGTTAGACCCTGGACTTAATGGCCTTATGGGGAAAGGTTCCTCCTCCATCCACAAGCATTACTTCCCTTCTGATGTATACAATTAACATTTCTCTTTCCATTTCTCTGCCTTGACTTCCATTCCTACTTTGCAACAGCTACTACAGCCTTGCTCTGTCAGAATAAAGCACAGACAGGAACCGGTTGGCTTCAGCAAGGGGACCCTCAATGTAGGAGCAGTCTATATTTTAAGCAGACAATTCACAGCCCTGTCATGACTACCAGAAGAAAATGGGGTTGCCCTGATGCCAAACACTTTTATGTAAAAGCAAGCAACATTTTTGTAGGAAAAAGTAATGATTGTAGAATGAAAACTAAGACTAATCATCATCATCTGTGTCCATGAACATGCCCAGATGGCTGTTTCCTCACTGTAAAATGGTTTTGTTTTTTTGTTTTTTTAGAAAAGGAAGAAATTATAAACAGAGCTGTGGCAAGCAGTGACAGTCCATGTCTGTACTAGTCCAGCTGCTGATGATGCCAGGCATGTTGACAACTCTCCTCAGCCTTTTATGCTTTCTGCATCCTTGTTAGGAGGCTAATCTGGCCTACAGGGCCCTAGAATTTGGCCCTGAGATCCATGCCTAATGCCATCACTACAGTCATCCTGAAGTTAACTGTTATAGTAAAAATCCATGAGCCAACCCCCCCCCCTGTAAAAACCAGCATTGAAGCACATCTGCTGCTTCTCCACAGGCTATTTCCCACAGACAAACTTTTGAAGAGCATGTCAAATCAACACAGTCAAAACCAGAAGCAATAGCATCTCAAATCTGCTGCCTGAGGCATTTGCTTTAGATTTTGCTTCATGGTAGAGCGGTTTCTCTTGCTGAAAGGACAGGGTGGGAATGGAGATGGGGGGAAAGGCCTTCATTAAAAATATTATGCTCTGCTTTCCTTTGTTCAAAGCATCAAAGTCATTCAGGAAAAGTTTTACATTATTTCATACACCTAAGCTACAAAATGTGTTTTTTTTGGGGGGGGGGGCTGGAGCGAAACAGCTATTAAGCGTTAGCAAGAAGTGTGTAAGCACTTGTAGAAGAGAAAACAAAGCCTGCAAAGTGGGTGGAGACAGCCCTGTCATAACACAAGTCTGTTCCTTCAGTCCCTTCAGATTTTTGGTTGCCAAGTAATCAGAGGCAACTTAGATAATTTCACACTCTGGACTGAATGTTCTTATAGCCACCCCCTGTCCTCTGCCTCACTGCCCTTTAATATACAGGAGTAGGGAATGTGTGACCTTCTGAATCAGGGCTTCTCAGTCTTAGGCCACCAGGTGTTCTTAAACTACAACTCCCAGAAGTCCTGAGTTAGCATAGCTAGGGGTGAAGGCTTCTAAGAGTTTTAGTCCAAGAACATCTCGGGACCCAAGGCTGGGAACCAAAATTTGCTCTAGATGTTATAGAACAGCAACATCCACCAGCTAACCAACATAATAAACACAGACGAATTATGGCAGTTGTAGTCCAGGCACCTCTTGGAGGGCAACGTGTACCCCAATCTTTGCTTTACCTGGTAATCTGCATTACTTAAAAGGTTGCAGGCTGTCCCTGATGCATTTTGCTGAGTGGAGACTTAGTTTTCTTTGCCTGATGGCATCGCTACCACTAATAGGGAAGCGCAAACCCACTGGTTAGTTTTCTATGGTAGCGCTTTAAAACATGAAAACAAATTCCAGCCCTTTTCCATAGCTCCTTTTTTCACTGCAGCGAGGTTTAGAAATGTTTTTGGTGGATTGTGTCCTACATCAGTTGTTCTGTGCAATGGAAGCAGATGACCATTCCATCCTGCGTACCAGAAGGACATACAGTATCCAGCTCTGCTAATGAAGTGGTTCTGAACCTTTGGTCTTCCAGGAATCTCACATCTCAGCTTTGAGGACCCCCCCAACATTCGCCATAGTGACCAGGATTTCTCAGAGTCAAAGTTCAAAACCTCTGGAGGGCCAAAGGTTGATAAGCAGTGTGGATTAAAGACAACGGTGACGTGGCCTAAACATACTGTCTATTGCAGCATCACAATATTTCGAACCTCAGAAGATCTCTGATCTAGCCATCTAGGCTTGCTGTCACCTACCAGCACACCAAAGCATGTCGAGAAAGGTGCTGCAGCGCCGGTCAGGAAAGCAGCTCGTGAGCACTGGGGCAGAGATAGAGAGTTGCTGCTGATAGATCAGTTGCAGCCTAAAGAGGAAGTTGAACGAGACCGGAACCCAAGAAGGGATGTTGCATTTACAATCAACAGTTTTGCTGTGCAAGGCTGTCTTAACAAGGGAAGTGGAAATTAGTGCTTTACAGAAAAGGCTGCTGAGGGCAAGGACTCCTAGACTCTTTTCCTGCCAGTCTAGCATGGCATGAATTTTTCCCCCAATTAAACTTAAGAACCTCATATCTTGCCTAATGCCTACAATCACTCCTAGCGACCAGACCACCCCCACCCCCTTTTTCACAGGGGAGGGAGAAAGCTCTAGATTTCAGCCCTTCCTCACCACCACCATCAACCACCAGCAGTAGCAGTAGCAGCAGTAGCAGCGACAATATTCTCTAGTCTACAAAATCTGGGTCACGTTTTTCTAGGTTTCAGGGGCGGCGGGGGTGGGGTGAGAAGAATGTACCTCTGGCAAGCACAGAAATGCAGCCGCAATGGACCTCAGGGCTGGCAGAGGTTTACAAGGGAGCACCCCAGTGGGGAGGAGGGCGCCCACTAGCGAGGTCAGGCTGGAGCAGGAATGGATGGCACTGGCCGGGCCCTAGGTCACCCTGCCAGGCTTTTAAACACTGAGGCAGGTGAGACCCAAGCAAGAATGCCAGTGCTAGCTACCCATTGCACAGGCAGGCAGCTAGCTGTTCCGGGCAGGTGAGACCCAAGCAAGAATGCCAGTGCTAGCTACTACACTACCCATCGCACAGGCAGGCAGCTAGCTGTTCCTAAACACACACACACACACAAAACACACACATACACACACACAACACACACACACACCCCTCTGGGTGCTGCTTTAGTGCAGCAGCCATCCACCAGCTCCTCTCTCACGCCTCGCCTCCCCATGCAAACCCACACCCAAGCAAGAATGCCAGTGCTAGCTACTACACTACCCATCGCACAGGCAGGCAGCTAGCTGTTCCTAAACACACACACACACACAAAACACACACATACACACACACAACACACACACACACCCCTCTGGGTGCTGCTTTAGTGCAGCAGCCATCCACCAGCTCCTCTCTCACGCCTCGCCTCCCCATGCAAACCCACCCGCTCGCCCTTCCACACAATGCACCCGAACCTCTGGCCTGCCCACCTTGCCCCCTCTCTCACCCCACCCCGTTGGCCTTTTCCAGGAAGCTGCACTGTACCCCGAGCCCTGCGCCCCCC